CAGCAGTTCGGTGAGGTTGCAAGGGGCGGGGCGGGGGACCAGCGCGCGTCTGGGACTTTGACCCAGGCAGGGCAGCACCCCTGACTGCTTGCCCCCCTTCTGCGCCGCAGTGGGACGGCAACCTGCGTCTGTGGCAGTACCGTCAGGCTGAGTACTTCCAGGACGACCTGCCAGAGTCTGAGGAACCTCCCCGTGCCCCTGCCGCAGTGCCCCACCCCTCTACAGCCTTTTCCTCACCCCAGTAGATCTGATCTCCAGCCCCGTCCACGGGTGAGCCTCCGACAAGCTCTCTGCCTCTTCCTGCCTTTCTCCCTTCTGGGAGACCTCTGGGGAGTCACTGGCATTGGACAGGGAGACACACAAGCCCAGGCTTTTGGGCCCTCGCTGAGCCCTGGAAGATCGTCCCCAAGGGGCAGAGTGGTCTCCTCATGTGCTTACACCCAGTTGGCTTGGTTCTCTATTTCTGGCCAGAGTCCAGAGGACTGCTGTTGTCTGAGGTGTGGCCCTTTGTCAGCAGGAGAACTCTCCTGAGTGTTTTTAATCATGTGTGGATGTAAGTGTTAGCTCCTAGAGTAGATGTCAGGTCTGAACTGAGCTGTCAGCCGGGCCCGTTGCCCTGGCCTGTGTGTTGAGGACTAGACTGGCCAATCAGAAGGCCAGGCGTCCCGGCCATTCTTCCAGAGGTCCTGAAGGCTAGAGCTCTAGCCTTTTCGGGGAAGGTGGGATGAGTAAGGCATGTCCTCAGCACCCTCCTGGGGTGGGAATTACGTTTTCTCCCTCTCTGTCTGGGTCTTCGGGGTGGGACAGGCTGTAGTGTGAGAGGCTCCATGTGGCCCCACACAGGGCAGGCCCTCCCTCCCAGACTGTTCCTTCATGCTGGAGGCCAGCAGCTTCAAGGAGAGATGTTGAAGTAGGACTCCTTCGTCCTCTCACTGGCTTTGGCTCCCTCAATAAATTCTCTGTGGGAACCTGGCTCAGTGTCTGTCTCTGTCTCTTTTTCCTATCTGAGGTCTTTTATCCTCTCCCTTCAAGAAAATAGTTTTGACAAAGCCTTCAGATATGCTTCTCTGTGGGGAAAAATCCCCCTTTGATGCCCCCAAGATGAAGAGAAATACCAAAATCATTTGTTAACTGAGCTCTGCAACAGACAACTCCCTCACTGAACTTAGAAACTTGCAGCAAGTAGAAATCAAGATAGCAGGAAGTAAGCGCAGTTTAGATTAGAGCCTGGAACACCCACATCAGCTTTGTTCTGGGGATGGCCTTGGCCCTGGTCCGGTCTTTGAGAAGAAGCAGCCCAGAGCTGGAGAGAACCTGGTGGGCGCTGACGCGGGGCCCCATCTGAGTGCTTCATACCCAGGACCTCATCCACCCTCCCAGCCACACTTTGTACAGGTGAGGAAATGGCAGCGTGCCCAGGTCAGGCGACATGCCCCAGAGCAAAGCCATGGTGTGGTCAGTAGGGGAGTTGGTCGGGCTTCACATCAGCTCTGATCACTCCGTCCCCATGACATTTCATTATCCCTAATGCAATTTTCAAACCAGGTTGCACACCTCCAGGGGTTCTCAAAAGACACAGCGAGGGGTAAAAGGGATACCTCTTTCACAGCAAAACAGTTAGTTTTAAAAGAATAGATTGTCCAGCTGCCCAGCCTACACATGTTCTCTTTCTTCTGCTCTGCCTCATGTGAAACCATCATGCCAGTCTCCCTGCCCACCAGCCCGCCTTGTTCCCCTTCTGCCACTTCAACCCAGACATGCCACCCATCTCACCCAGAACCTGTATTACCTCCAGGGTGCCAAAATTAGAAGCAAATTAAAATTATTAACATCCTCAAAGCCTCTTTTATATATTTTTTAAGATTTTTATTTACTTATTTGTCAGAGGGAGAGAGAGAGAGCACGCACAAGTAGAGGGAGCAGCAGACGGAGAAGCAGACTCCCCGCTGAGCAAGGAGCCCAATGCGGGGCTCCATCCTAGGTCCCTGAGATCATGACCTGAGCTGAAGGCAGACCTCTAACTGACTGAGTCACCCAGGCGCCCCTCAAAGCCTCCTTTAATCGAGGCCCCAAGTACCATCCATTTTTCTCATTAAGAGTTGCATTTCCAATACAATTTGAGTTTATTATTAATTATCACAATGTGTGAAATCTTTGCTATACTAATTATATATTTTGTACTACTAACAATTATTATGAGAACTCTATCCAGAAGAAAAATGTTTTAACTTCGAGGGCCTTATGATCACAGGAAATACTTAAAAATTAAGTTTCAAGGTCACTTGGGTGGCTCAATTAAGCAGCCAACTCTTGGTTTTGGCTCAGGTCATGATCTCCCAGGAGTCTTCTTGGGATACTCTCACTCTCCCTCTGCCCCTCCCCCTGCTTGTGTGCTTGCCCTCTCTAAGATAAATGGGTAAATCGTTAAAAAAAAAAATTAAGTTTCGGGGCACCTAGGTGGCTCAGTTGTTAAGCGTCTGCCTTCTGCTCCTGTCATGATCCCAATATCCTGGGATTGAGCCCCACATTGGGCTCCCTGCTCCCTGCTCCTCAGGAAGCCTGCTTCTCCCGCTCCCATACACCCCCTGCTTGTGTTCCCTCTCTTGCTGTGTCTCTCTCTGTCAAATAAATAAAATCTTATAACATAATAAAATACAATAATCTTAAATAAAAAAATAAAAATTAAGTTTCAAATTATATACATTTTTTTGGCAGAGGAGTGTGATCAACAAAATGTTCAGGCATAAAAACATGAGGATAACTTGTATGGGGGAAGTCTAATGGAAATATACTTTCTGACTATTAAGATCTTGTCACATTTTTTTTTTATTTTTTTATTTTTTTTTTAAAGATTTTATTTATTTATTTGAGAGAGAGAGAGAGAGAGAGAGAGAGCACGAGAGGGAAGAGGGTCAGAGGGAGAAGCAGACTCCCCGCCGAGCAGGGAGCCCGACGCGGGTCTCGATCCCGGGACTCCAGGATCATGACCTGAGCCGAAGGCAGTCGCTCAACCAACTGAGCCACCCAGGCGCCCCCACATTTTTTTTTTAAAGATTTTATTTATTTATTTGACAGAGAGAGAGACAGCGAGAGAGGGAACACAAGCAGGGGGAGTGGGAGAGGGAGAAGCAGGCTTCCTGCAGAGCAGGGAGCCCGATGTGGGGCTCGATCCCAGGACGTTGGGACCATGACCTGAGCCGAAGGCAGTCGCTTAACCGACTGAGCCACCCAGGCGCCCGTTGTCACATGTCTTTTAAATGGAAAATGGTAAGATACATAATCACTGTAGTATTTAGATTCCATTGGGTATATTTAAAAGAATGAGAGAGAGAATGCATTGGAAATTATGTCCTGTGCAACTATTTAAAATTACAATGAAAAATTTTTTGTCGGGCGCCTGGATGGCTCAGTCAGTTGAGCGTCTGCCTTTGGCTCAGGTCATGATCCTGGGGTCCTGGGATCCAGCCTGCTCAGCAGGGAATCTGCTTCTCCCTCTCCTTCTGCCCCTCCCTGCTACTCATGCTCTCTCTTTCTCTTAAATAAGGGAATAAAATCTTGAAAAAAAAATTTTTGTCAGGGGCGCCTGGGTGGCTCAGTTGGTTAAACCGCTGCCTTCAGCTCAGGTCATGATCCCAGAGTCCTGGGATCGAGCCCCACATCGGGCTCCCTGCTCATGCAGGAAGCCTGCTTCTCCCTCTGCCTGCCGCTCCCCCTGCTTGTGCTCTCTCCCTCTCTCTCTCTCTCGCTATCTCTCTCTGTGTGTCAAATAAATAAATAAAATCTTTAAAAAAAAATTTTTTGTCAAAGATGTGTGAGGGGTTCTATAGGTTTTCCTGTTAGGGTCCATGAGCAGGAACTATGTTGAAGTATGGGCTTTAGGATCTGGAAGGAACCTGATTGATTAATCCATCTTGATCGGTTTATGGATGTGGGCACTGAGGACCAAGGAGGATTAGTTGATTTTCCCAAAGTCACACAGTTCAGAACCCAGGTGTACTTGCTTGCTCATTCCTTTCACTACTTCGTGGGCCTCCACTGTACTCTGAAATCCCACCACCAGTTCTGAGGAATGAGGAAGGATGACAAAAAAGGATCTCAGAACAGTTATTGAATAACAGGGACATCCCTTGGGTAGGTTGCTCTCCGCCTTGTGGCTCCAGCCCCAGGGGTCAGGCTGGGAGGCCAATGTGAGACTTGGGACCCAGGGCAACTGGTTGGAGGACACAACCTAAGGTTTTGATGGGCTCCAAGCTGGGGATTTTCCTTGTAGGGTCACCCCCACCCCCACCCGCATCACGTGGCCGTGAGCCTAATCTTTGGGGTCCTGAAAATCCAGCCTGGGCCACCACTATCTCTCATACGATACACCTTCCACAGGACACTTGAATTTCTTTTTTTCTTTTTTTTTTTAAGATTTTATTTATTTGACAGAGCGAGTGTACGCATAGGAAGGGGGAGTGGCAGAGGCAGAGGGAGAAGCAGACTCCCCACTGAGCAGGGAGCCCAACGTGGGACTCGATCCCAGGACACTGGGATCATGATCTGAGGAGACACTTAACCAACTGAGCCACCCAGGCGCCCCAGGACACATGAATTTCATCTGTTGGCCGTCATGATAACCGTACCAAAGAATGGTCCCACCTTAGAGCTGATGTCTTGTGCATTGCATAACCACCATGGTTTACATAGGGCCAGACGAGCCACTCAGAGTCCCTCACATCAGACAGGGGCTGGGGTTGGGTCAAGCCCTACGGTCATGGTGCACCTAAGTGGATACCCCTGTTGGTGTGCTCCCCACAGCCTAACTTGGACATGGTGCCATGCACAGTCATCTTGTGCATCCTGCAGTGGTGGGCTCTTGTGCTCAGAATTTAGGAGAGGGGTTGGATCACACTGATGATGAGGCAGACACAGATTTTTTTTTAAATGGTTTCCAAGGTTTGGTTAGTTTGAATCTCCATGACCCCTGATTTCCCTGCGGAGCAAACATGGTCAGGTTGGGGTGGGGCGGGGGTGACTGGTTGACCAGACAGACGGGCAGGCCCAGGCAGGCTGTGGACAAAACACTGAACTGCAGGCCTGGCCCTCCAACATGAACTAGAACATGGTTGGAGCTGGGGACACATGACTAAAAGGAAAGGACATAGGCCACTGTCAGGACACACAACCAAAGCTAGGACCCTGCTGACGTGGCAGCCCTCCGCCCTGGTCCCTTACTGCCCCCCGCCCCTCTCCCCCGCCTGCCAGCTGCCACCAGGGCTCTGCCCTGTGTCTGCCACACCTGTCACTGCCCGTCCTTGTCCGGGGGGGCCCCATCAGCCCCTCCTCAGCTACCCAGCAGAGCAAGCGGGTAGTGGGGAGGGGAGGGAACATGGAGCGGGGGCCGGTGGTGGGGGCAGGGCTGGGGGCCGGGGCCCGAATCCAGGCACTGCTGGGCTGCCTGGTCAGGGTGCTGCTCTGGGTGGCCTCTGCCTTGCTGTACTTTGGAAGTGAACAGGCTGCCCGCCTCCTGGGCAGCCCCTGCTTACGGCGCCTCTACCATGCCTGGTTGGCAGCAGTGGTCATCTTTGGGCCCCTTCTGCAGTTCCATGTCAACCCTCGGACTATTTTCGCCAGCCACGGCAACTTCTTCAACATGTGAGTCCACTGGAGGCTGTGGGCGCTGGCTCCCTGCACTCTGGGATCCGAGCTCCCTCCTCTAGGCTTCTGTCGTGCTGCCAGTCTGGACGCTAAAAATAGGCTAAGAGGTTGAGGAGAAATTGAGAGGAGGGGGAGGGGAACAGAGCCCTGGGGTCCAGGGGAAATCAGGAGCAGGGCTGAAGAGGAAATAAGGCTCTCGAAGGCTGAATGGGCCTCTAAGGAGACAGCAAAGTTTAAGTGGCTGGGGAGGAAGGGGGAGGAAAGGGAACCAGTGAGGATATGTAGGGCGGGGGACAGAGCAGGGATGGGAACACAGATGGGGTGGAAGATGGGGCGCAGGCAGGTCTCAGTAGCTAGCCTCCCTTCTGTGCCCACAGAAAGTTTGTGAATTCGGCATGGGGCTGGACATGCACCTTCCTGGGGGGCTTCGTGCTGCTGGTGGTGTTCCTGGCTACGCGGCGTGTGGCCGTGACCGCCCGGCACCTGAGCCGGCTGGTGGTGGGGGCGGCAGTGTGGCGGGGGGCCGGCCGGGCCTTCCTGCTCATCGAGGACCTGACCGGCTCCTGCTTCGAGCCTCTGCCCCAAGGCCTGCTGCTGCACGAGCTTCCTGACCGCCGCAGCTGCCTGGCAGCTGGCCACCAGTGGCGGGGCTATACCGTCTCCTCCCACACCTTCCTGCTCACCTTCTGCTGCCTGCTCATGGCCGAGGAAGCCGCAGTGTTCGCCAAGTATCTGGCCCACGGGCTGCCAGCCGGGGCCCCCCTCCGCCTGGTCTTCCTGCTCAACGTGCTGCTGCTGGGCCTCTGGAACTTCTTGCTGCTCTGTACCGTCATCTATTTCCACCAGTACACCCACAAGGTGGTGGGTGCCGCGGTGGGCACCTTTGCCTGGCACCTCACCTATGGCAGCTGGTATCATCAGCCCTGGTCTCCAGGGAGCCCAGGCCACGGGCTCTTTCCTCGGCCCCACTCCAGCCACAAGCATAACTGAAAGAAATAAAGGCAAACTGGGCCTACCTCGGGCTCTGCTCATCATTTGGTTGGGGGGACTCAGGGTGGGAAGGGTAAGAAGGGAGTCAGGCAGTCTCTCGTGCGTCCCTCAGCCATTCTTTGCTTGTTCTCCATCCTTCCTGCTGTACTTTCAAGTCTCCCAGTCCTTGCAGACTTCAAGCTCTCTGGGGGGCTCGGATGTCAAGGACCAGCAATGCGAGAGCAGGTAAGAGTGCCCGGTATGGGCAGCACTCCTGCTGAGCAGATGCTTTGTCTCCAGCCTGGTTGATTGTTTTTTTCTGCCTCCTTCACTGAATTCCCCCTTCCACCTTCCTTAAGGGCCTGCCTGTCTGGGCACATTTACTTAATAGGCATTTATTGAGCCAAGCATAGTTCCATGCCTTGTGAATAAGGAAGACAAGGTTTCTGCTGTTTGGGGGCTGATGGGTTAATGGGGGAAGCAGATGAGAAACTCACAAAGAACAGCAAACACTTCTCTTGTGCTTACTATGTTTCAGGCAGTGTTCTAAGTGTCTCTAAGCTCTTCCTATAAATCAAGACATTAAGCCCTCATAACAACAACACCACTATCAGGTGGGTTTGGTAACGTTTCTACTGTACAGTTGTGAAAACTGAGGCACAGAGGTTAAGTGACTTGTTCACAGCTAGTATATATCAAAGCCAGGATTATAAACCCAGGCAATAAGGGTCCATTGTGCTCTAAACCGAGGACCAGCAACTACAGCCCTCCTATGGCCAGATTTTGTATGGCCTGAGAGTTAAGAAAGGTTTTTACATTTTTTTTAAAAGATTTTATTTATTTATTAGAGAGAGAGAATGAGAGAGAGTACGAGAGGGAAGAGGGTCAGAGGGAGAAGCAGACTCCCTGCCGAGCAGGGAGCCCGATGTGGGACTCGATCCCAGGACTCCAGGATCATGACCTGAGCCGAAGGCAGTCGCTTAACCAACTGAGCCACCCAGGCGCCCTGGTTTTTACATTTTTAATGATTGAAAAAAAAAAAAAAAAGAATATATCATGATATGTGAAAATTACACAGAATTCAAATTCCAGTGTCCATAGAGAAAGTTTTACTGGAACCTGGCCTTGCTAATTCATTTAGGTATGGCTGTTTACCTGCTCTAAGGGCAGAGTTGAGTAGTTACTACAGACACCATATGGCCCACGAGAGCCTAAAATGTTTACTATCTGGCCTTTTACAGAAAAAGTTTGCCAACCCCTGGTCTAAACCACACTATCCCCCCAAAATAAACTGGCTAATATCAGAGAGCTCCAGTGCTATGAATGTACTACAACAGGCTGGTTTGTAATAGAGACTTGGCAGGGAGGTACTTTATAAAGGATGATGGAGAGAGTTCCCTCTGGAGAGGTGATATTTAAGCTGAGAACCTAAGCTGAGAACCTAATGACAACCGGAGGCAGGGAAAGGGTGTGTCAGGCAAAGGGATCGGTAAGGCCAACGTACCTGGGACAGGAATGAATGTGCCATCGGGTTTAAGCAACAATGGAAGGTCCAGCTATTTGCAAGTGTAAGGGAAGGGGGAAAGCATGGAAAGTGAGGTTGCAGAACAGGTGCCAGGCAGGCCAGGCAAGCCTTCTGGGCCAGGAAAGCCCTTTAGATTTCATTCTAAGGTCAACAGGAAACTGAGAAAGAGCTTTAAGCCAGACAGAGGTCTGTGTGGAGAGTATAGGGGGGTTGTAGTCCACAACATGGGTCAGGAGGGAGCTGACCGGGGCCTGGGTTGGCGTGGTGACAGCGTCTGAATGTCACCACATGGGTCAGACGATGCCCGTGGAGCCAGGGCTAGGGAAGGGAGGCCAGAAAAGATGGAAGAGCGCCAGATAAGGCTTATCACCGTCCCAAGCCGAACAGAGACAGAAGAGAACCAGAGGAGTCTGAAGGCAGGGAGATGGGAGACGGGCCCTGGCCGGGTGGCCGACCTATGGGCTCCGGGAGGCGGGGAGGCGGGCCCGCGGTGCGTGGGGAGGCTAGCAGTAGGCTGGGAGACCAAAGGCGGGAAGCGAGGAGGCGGGGAGAGAGAGGCAGGGCTTCGGGAGCAGGGCGGGGAGGGGGAAGCAGGCTGGGACCGGCAGCCCGGCGGAGGAGGCGGTGGCAGCGCTCCTTTCGGCCTCCAGGGGGAGCCCGGCCGCGGCTGCCGCCCTCCGCCCCCTACTCTCCGGCTCTGGCCCCGCCCCCTCCAGTACCTCGGCTCCCCGGCTACCCAGGAAGGCCGTGCGGGTGGCGAGCGCTGCTTTCGCTTTCCCTTCCCGGTACACACTCCGCTTCTCGTGCGGCGCTAGGCCCCCAGCCCCGGCCATGGCCACGCTTAGGGTCCAGCCTGAAGCCCAAGCCAAGGTGAGCGCTGCGGGTTCGAGGAGGGGCCCATTAGGGAGGCGTGGCTCCGAAAGGCTGCAGGCGTCCGTGACCCGCCCCCCCGGCCCCAATTGCGGGTCGGGGTCTTGGTCAATCGGAGCCCACGTGAGCCTCGGTGCCAGGAGCACCTGCGCCCTGGCCGGGGGAGACAGGCGAGGTCCGCGTGCCGGGAGAGGCCAGGCGGTCGAGGTTCAGCGGGGTGCGGTGAAGCGGAGAGCTGGCGTGGAGGGGAAGCCCACTGGCGCGGGGCCCCGGGCCACACACAGACGGGGTGCCGGAGCTGCCCCGCCACCTCATGGCCTTTCCCACGGGAGGGCCCCTGGCCCAGTCCACAGGGTACGCTGTCCCTGCCCCAGTCGCAGAGGCTCTTACACCCCTTCTTGTACAGCCCAGGACACCCGAGGGATCTGTACTCACTTGGATCATTCGCCCTTCACCGCCAGGAATGTTCTCATCCCCCAAATCCAGCCCCACGGGGATTCACTTCACTCTCCCCAACCCCACGGGATGCATTCCACCCTTCCCCAGGTCAGGCCCTACACAACCCTAAGGGAACAGTCCTCATATAAACTGGCCATAAAGCCAGGTGTGTGAAGGGCTGCCTGTGTCCCACAGGTGGATGTGTTCCGTGAAGACCTGTGTACCAAGGTAAGACCTGCCCCATCAACACCCCACTCCTACCTAACTCCCAGGGCTCAACCCTTCCCTGCTGGGCAGTGGCAGCCCTGCTTCACTGCCAGGAAGAACATGTGATTCTGACCCCCATCTTCCCCCACCCCCACCTCACAGACAGAGAACCTGCTGGGGAGCTACTTCCCCAAGAAGATTTCTGAGTTGGATGCATTTTTAAAGGTACTGGGGGCAGCAGAAAGCTAGAGAGTAGGGGTCAAGGGGGGAGTCTGGGGAGCCATGAGAGTGAGGCGAGAGGGATGCCTTTGCCTCTAGCTCTCCTCCCACCCTGCACCAGGAGCCGGCTCTCAATGAAGCCGACCTGAGCAATCTGAAGGCCCCGTTGGACATCCCAGTGCCTGATCCAGTCAAGGAGAAAGAGAAAGAGGAACGGAAGAAACAGCAGGAGGCAAGCCGGGAAGAGCTGGGAGGAGGGACCCAATCATGGGAAAAATCAACCTTAGGCCTGACTGCCAAGAGCCCCTCTCTCCCTGCAGAAGGAAGACAAAGATGAAAAGAAGAAAGGGGAAGACGAAGACAAAGGTACCATCATGAACGGACTTGAGTCTCACCTCCTAGGAGCTCTTTCCCAGGGATTGCTCTTCCCTGCTCTCACACAGTCCCAGCCTGGTGACTGACCCGTTGCCCACTGCCTAGGTCCTCCCTGTGGCCCAGTGAACTGCAATGAGAAGATCGTGGTCCTCCTTCAGCGTCTAAAGCCTGAGATCAAGGATGTCATTGAGCAGCTCAACCTGGTGAGCCCTCCCACTCCCACCCCCAGGCTTGAGACCTAACCCTTTGTCCTCCTTAGTCCCTATCAGGTAGGGCTTGGCACCAGCCGGGTCTCAGCAGGAGAGAGCACAGCAAATGAAGCCAGAATTGTAGGCCCTGGGGCTTAGGACAGACTTGGCATGCCTCCCCCCCGATCGTGGGCAGGGAAGCAGAGGACAGGAACCTGGGAAGTAGGTTGGGAGCTGATGTGGCTTTGATGCCTTTCCCTCCTCCCAGGTCACCACCTGGTTGCAGCTGCAGATACCTCGGATTGAGGATGGGAACAATTTTGGAGTGGCTGTCCAGGTGAGAGCGCTACCCCACTCCTCTGTCCTCCTTACTGCTCCAGTCCATGCTGCTTTCCACTTTCCCCCTTGCATTCTTTCCCCAGGAGAAGGTGTTTGAGCTGATGACCACCCTTCACACCAAGCTGGAAGGCTTCCACACTCAAATCTCCAAGTGAGTGACTGCCCACCTACACCTGCACGCACACTCTGCCTTCGCCTTGGACAGAGGCCTGGGCTACCTCTTCCTTCTCCCACTCCATACTCTTCTACTTCCTACAGGTATTTCTCTGAACGGGGCGATGCTGTGACCAAAGCAGCCAAGCAGCCCCACGTGGTAGGTGAGGCCCAAGTCAGGGTGCATGGTGGGGGAGGGACACATCTGAAGTCAGACCTGACCCAGGTCTCCCACAGGGTGATTATCGGCAGCTGGTGCACGAGCTGGATGAGGCAGAGTACCGAGACATCCGGTTGATGGTCATGGAGATCCGCAACGCTTATGTGAGGAAGCAAGGGGGTGGGAGACAGAGGCAGCTTTCCTAGGCCCCCTACTCCCTGAAAGGCTGGGGGTGAAGGGTCACAGAACTTAGCCTCTTCATAAGGCTAGAAATGGGGCACAGGAGCCACTGGGGGCCTGTGGCTGACCCCCACTCCTCTCTGGCCCTGTAGGCTGTGTTATATGACATCATCTTGAAGAACTTCGAGAAGCTTAAGAAGCCCAGGGGAGAAACAAAAGGAATGATCTATTGAGAACCTTCTCTCTTTCCGTAATGGGTCCAGCAGAGACCTTCCTCTTTTACAGAGGACTCCAGACTTTCCCCAACTTCAGCCTGTTGAGGTTTCTCCCTCCCCTTGCCTCCCAGGCACAATAAATAGTCATACTATTGTCCTTCAACCCAAGTCTCTTTATTGGATCCTGACCCTTCCCCTCCTACCTCCCCCCAGCCTTGGCTCAGGTATTTCCATTGGTGGGACCCACCCATTGGGTGATTTGGGTGTTCAGCTGCTGGTTGGTCCAGTCCTGCCGGATGTCGTCAAGGTGGCAGTCAAAGTCCACAAGGTGCTGGTGGGCCCGGCCCTCCAGTAGTGCTCCCACCATCTGCCGTGACTCTTCCCAGTCCCTCCACATCACTCTGAAATAATAACCCCCATGAAGGTCAAACTCAGCAGGCGGCCAGACACTTGGCAGAGGTTAGCATCTACAGAAGGACCCTTGGGGCAAGATCAAGGACAGAGGAGGCCCAGGAGCTGTGGGCTTCCACGAAGAGGTGAAGGGAGTGGGGCACTCACAAGTTCTTGTCCTTGGGGACCCAGCGGGGACCATGGTTTTCCAGGACGATGATGGGGGGCACATGAGGCTGAGGCACCAGTTTCTGATTATCCAACTGTGTGGACAAGGAAGGTCTGGTGAGGGTTTCAGGGATCTCCCTTCCTACTTTCTCACCAACTCCCCACCCTGAAACCCAAACCTCACCATAATAAGGACTGCACCAGGGAAGAATTCTGCAATCCGCCCAGCGATTTTCAAGGCCAGAGGCCCAGCGCTGTATAGAGGGAAGATCAGAGGAATGAGGAGCTGGCCTTGGGTAGACCCTGTCCATCTGAGCTGGACCTCCCAGGTCTCCTAGATGATGGCGCAGTGGTGGCCTTTCCCTGTAGCGGGGTCTGGGGGGTCAGGCCTGCTTGAAGCTTCATACACAACTGCTTAATGCTTGAGTGCAGTGGAAAACAGGTGCTCAGATTCCTGGTCAAGGTGGAGATCAAAGGTGATCTTTTGGGAGGGTAATTTGGCATAACCACCCAAGTTTAAACAGTATATGCTGACCCAGAAATTCCACTTATAATTTACTGTAATAATTGGACAGTGTCTGTATTAACAAAAAATGGGAAACAATATCAATGTTTAAGGCATTAAATAAATCATCGTACTTCCATACTCATACTATATAGCTGGTAGGATAAGGTAAATCTTGGTGTAGAGAGGGAATACAAAACTGTGTATAATTTGACCCAGATACATGATTAATACGTAAGTAGATAACTTTTTCTATATATAAGGACATTTCCTTTTTTTTCCCCAAAGTTGCTGGTTGGGCTTCCTCTGTGTTCTTTCAGCACTTGGCGGGGGTCACCTCAGTTAAAGCCAGGTGTCAGCCTGCTATTGATACACAGCTATGCTCCCCACCCCCACCACAGCTCCTCCAGGGAGCTCCTTCATATTTCTTTATATTCCCTCACTCCAGTACCCAGCCTAGTGCCTGGTGGATATAGTCCCTGCTCCTAAGCATTTGACGAAGGAAAGATGGAAGGAATGACCAAGAGTTCTCTTGATCCCCCATCCCATAACCCTTAGCCTTCTGCCTCTGGCTACTCCACTCACCTCTGGTCGTCCAGAGCTGCATTGGCATGATAGTACCCAGCCACTACCAGACCGGCCTGCGCGCCCCACACATCCACCTGCCGTGGGAAAGGGGCCATCAGAAACTCAATCGTGCCGCCCGCCCTGTAGGAGCGCACTGCCGCCAAGAGGCCGGGGATGGGCTTGGGCTAGGGGTGTTAGGGGGTTTCGCGGTGGTCGGTGGGCGTCCAGCGGCGGCACCTGGTTGAGGGCGACCTCCAGCATGACGGACAAGGCCAGATGGCTGTGGAACAGGGGCACACAGTCGGTGAGACACAGACATTCTCCCGACCGCGGAGCGGCCGCCAGCAACAGCCCGTTGACGGCGGCGTGCGGGTACCGGGCGGCGTGCAGACACATCTTCACGTAGGCCCGGGCCGAGATCTCCACCTCCCCCATAGCCAGCGGGGCCCCAGCTCGCGTCCGCGAAGCTCCCTCCCCGGCGCCTTCCTTGGCCCTTCCCTCTGCCCCCTCACTTAGATTCGGCAGTGACGCTGACTGGGCGCGAAAGCAGCCCGCCGGCTCCCGGGGACCTGGGTCCCGGCGCCCGGCCCCCACCTGGCCCAGAACGCAGACGGTCCGGATTGCATGCTGCAGTGCCGAACTCCGCCTCCGCCTCCGCCCGCCCCTAAAGGGCGGCCGCAGATCCTCGCGGGTTTGGGGGACTCCCGGCCCGCTGCGGTAAGCAGCACCCGCTTCTGGAGTCCCGCCCACGTGGTGCTCTTTGATAGGCTTACAGGTTCTCATTTTGCCCAATCATCGGCCGCGTCCAAACCTTGCCCCGCCTTTGTCTCCCGCGAACTGGAAAGAACCCACAACTGAAAACTAAAGAGAACCGCCTGCACGCTGATTGGCTAGGCTGCTCGACTTCGGGCCCGGATTGCAGGATGGCTTCGTCTGATACCTGTGCCGCCCAGCCCCCGCAGGCCCAGCAAAGCCAGCAGGGTGGAGCGCGCGCTCCGCGTGGGGTGTCCCAGAGCGCTCGATCTCCGAACCTGGACACAAGCGCACTGCCTTGCTCCTACTATGGAATGAGTGGATTTGTACTCTAGGCCAGCTCCGTCGCTGATGAGCCGTGTTACCTTTGCCACTACAGGATAACTGGCCCTTGGTTTCCTTAATGTAGTCTCTGCAGAAATAAAGGCGTTAATTGGCTGAAGGAGGGGGAAAGAGGACAAAACAATTTACAGACCCATCCTTCCCTTAATGTCCTGCGGTATAATTTCCTTCAACGTAATGCCTTGGGAGCGTTTCTTCCCTTGTCAGCTCTTGAGGAGTCCCACCATTCACCCATAATTCTGCCAGTGAAACCTCACTCCCTCTCCAGGCTTGCACTGAGCTGATGATCAGTGTTGTTCTTTCTTCTTTCCCTGATCTCAGCCCTCGAGCTTTCTCCTTGCTCAGCTTTCAGTCCAAAGCCTGATTATTCCTATAAGGGGTCTGTGCAAATGCCACTTCTTCCAGGAAGCACTCACGAGCCCCCCGAGATGTTTGAAATAATCTTGTGAAATTCCCAAATACAGGCTATCTATATGGTTGTCACGACATGTCACAATTTCCACCCTGTTCTTTAGGATGACTTCTTAAGAACCGGATGGGTTTCCCATTCATCTTTGGCTTCATGGCATCCTTTCTCTTTCCTGCCACCACATTCACATTCGGTGTCTGGACATAGGTGACACTCAATAAATGCCTTCTGAATGAATGACACACACCGGAGATAATTCACACAAAGCATAGGTCATTTATTATTATTATTATTATTTTATTTTTCTGGCCCTCGACTAGTACATAGACGGCTTCTCTTCACCCTTTGGGTTGATGATTTTCTCTAGGTTGCTGCTGATGATATGATAAAGCTCAGCCTGGAAGAAGGCCAGAAGGGTGGCAGTCAGGTTCTTGGCTTCTCCCCCATCCCCCTCAACCATCTCCCATAGGGGCTTACTCCACACTCACATAGAAGGCCCTCAGGTCCAGCACCATGGCCCTGAGCTCCCCATAGGCTGCCTCATCTCGCTCATGCACCAGGGCCCGATAATCCATCTGGGATGTGGGAGGCAAAGCTGAGTCAGTCCCATGGGAGGTTGGGACATTAATCTGGTTTCCTCATATAGGAAATAGGTAACTTGAGGATGAGCCCCTTCTCAGCACTAAGAAATGGAATCCCACAGGATCAAGCCGAGAAAGGGGTCAAGGTTTTTGAAGCCCAAATCAGTTTTTCTAGCCAATGCTCTTGGCTTAGTATTTTCCACATTGGGAAAGTCAGAAAACAGACAAGGAAGACCTCTAGCCCCTCTTCCTTGCCCCACCCCCAGCCAGCCTCAGCTAAAAGCCTGGTGACTATCTACTCACTACATGAGTCTCCTTAGAGGCCTTGGCCACAGCATCCCCGCGTTCTGAGAAGTACCTGCCAAAAGCAAGGGAATAAACACAGGAACGGGTAGTGAGAGATACTCCCTCAGATCCTTCCCAGAGCCCCCCATTGTCCTGATGGGACTGCCCAGCTTTGGGAATCCCAAAGAAATGTCCCTGCAGCACACCCGTGCTGGCCCTCCAGCTGCCCTCACTTGGAAATGGTTGTCTGGAAGGCTTCTACTTTTGTCTTGACTGCATTTACCCTCTCCAGCACCTTCTCCTGTGATTAAAAAAAAGAGAGAGAGATGGGAGGCAAGAAAAACACTTCATCTCCTCCCTCCTTCACCCACCACCTTCCTCTTCCTCCCAGGTCTTATCTAGTTCCTATGTCTCACTCCCCAAGTCTCTCCCTGCTCTCAATGTCCTCATACACCCTTTTCTTACCTGGATTGCCACCCCAAAGTCATTTCCATCCTCAATCTTGGGGATCAGGTGCTGGATCCATGTGATCACCTAAATTATGATCATGTAGGAATCATTCAACAAACTTACTGGGTTTTTCCTTTTACTGCCACCTAATAACAGCTGTATTTATTTATTTATTTTTAAGGTTTATTTCCTTGAGAGAGAGAGAGAGAGCGAGCGAGCACAAGCAGGGGGAGCAGCAGAGGGAGAGGGAGAAGCAGGCTCCCCACCAAGCAGGGAGCCCGACTCGGGGCTCAATCCCAGGACCCTGAGCCAAAGGCAGACGCTTTAGCTGACTGAGCCACCCAGACACCCCTAACTGAGGATTTATTAAGTGCCAGACACTGTGCTACATATATATCTCATTTAATCCTCACAGCAGTTTTTCAAGATACATATTTTTATTGTACCCACTCAATAAATGAAAAAACTGAGTCACAGAGTGTCCAAGAAACTTACTTAAGGTAACCAGCGAGGTAAGTGATGCAGTCAGAATTTGAGCCCAAGCAGTCTCTAGGGCCCAAGCTCTTAAACCAACTCATGATGGCACAACACCTGCACTGTGTACCTGGTACAGAGGTGGGTTCTGACACTATGGAGGTGGATACAGCACAGTCTCTGATTACACAGGGATACCACTGTGATATCAGAGGTCTAGCAGAATGAGAACACAAGGT